GTTCCAAACCTTGAATAAGTTTTCTTCTTCGACTTGGAATGGTCGTTGGAAAACCCAGTGCCTTGCCGCCTTAGATACGGGATGTGCGCCTTCTCAAAACAACTGGGGATTCTCGCTTCTGAGAGGCCAGCTGCTCCGATTCGCACCCGTTTAAAAGCTCAACAATGCACCAAGAAATCCGGCTCGAAGGACCAAAAAATGTACAGTTCGTACACTTGTAGTTGATGTTGGAGTGTGCAGAGAAAAGATCACTCGGATAATGTAACTATAAAGTTTATTGCACCCAAGTGTAGTACAGTATAGCACAGTTGGCAATTCCTTTCTCATTAGGTGTTTACTTCGTTATTAGTAAAAACACACTCTGTCGATAATTACTTGATATGTGATTATATACCTAAGCAATATCGCGCGATCGTACCGATCTTAATGTCAGCAAAATATCTATGTACCGTTGAAGACTGTACAGTATGTATCTTGAACTATCTTCCTAATGGTTGAAAGAATCGGAACGTTCGGAAATCGGGTAATTAGGGTGTTAGTTACTTTTTGAAAAGGAGGTATGACTTTTGATGTCGTTAATTTAATTGGGATGATAACAGGGTATGAAAATTAAAAATCTATTTAGTCCGTAAGTTAGGTAATGGAAAAATATTAGACATGTATTTTTTTATTTTATTGCATAATAAAGCGTAGATAAAACGAATCAAAGTTTAGGAGTGGGGGCTAAAACGTCACTTCTACGTATTAAATGTATGTACATAGAGGTAGATGTGACGTCACGCGACATTTTAATCGTGCATAAAAAAGTACTTATAAAAAGTACCATAAGTATACACCGTCAAATCTATTTCGTTTTCGTCTCGAAGTAAAATGGTTATGTCTTATAGTAATACAATAGTTTTACAAAGAAATAAAATGTTTAAAACAAAAAATATTACAAAAAGCAAACTTCAAAAGCGCATACGAACACAGTACTCAAAACATAACGTCATGTAATTCTCGAAGAGGTATTTCTCGTCGGGTGGCACGTGCAATGCGAATAGTGCCTAAAAATTTTCGTTTAGTGTTGCATGGACATATTTCTATAACAAATACCAAACTTCAAAAAATGACATCTTTAATCTTATGTTCTAACTTTATACATCGACAGTACCCCTTATGGCAAGCTATTTAGCCGCAGGATAAAAACAAAACAAAATTTCACGGTAAGGAAAAACAAATACTTACATCTGTAGGTAAGATCAGATTATTTCCAACTCCAAATCAATTGCAAAGGAAACTGCGTAAGAACATGAGAAGTACGAGTACAGTTTTACATCAAGCTTTACAAATCCATTTTATCATGGCCTCGATTTGTATGATATTCCCGAACACGCAACGGTCAGTTTACACTGGTATTGCATAGCTCGATCAGACGCCTTAGTACGAACAGTACAGTAGTCGTGTGTACAAATTGAGTAAAGTGATTTGTTAGAGGTAAGTCGTTGCGATATCGGGTTGGTATCGTGTCGTCGCCGGAACGTTTTCGTGCGGCAACCGCACCTCACTGAAAGCTCCCTGATTTGTTCTTACGTAAATTTGTGTTGAAATTTCGTTTGGGTTTGTGTCGTTGGAGTATTAGTATTAGCAAGGAAGTGGTGATTTTGAAAAGCTTCAGAAAAATGGCCGTGTTTAACTAATCAATTTTTGTCTTAAGTTTGATTTAATTATTATTTAGATCAGCTATATTTAAGTGTGTTAGGCACCAATGGGCCGGCTCGACCTGAGTGGTACCACGGCCTCACAGGAAACCGACGTGAAATTACGCTTGCATGGTGTTTTGTCGCATGAGTGAGGTTATCGGAGGCCCAATTATCCCCCTCCCCAATCTCTTCAATCCCTGAATCCCAAACAATCTTTAAATTCCTAATCCCCAAAAGACCGATAGCGCACTTGTAACGCCTGGCATTCCAGGTGTCCATGGGCGACGCCGATTGCTTACCATCAATCCGTCCTTACCATCACCACGTACCATCGGTCCGTCTAAAAAGATTCTTTCATGCGTTGTTTTGTAATAAAAACGTAACATAGAAATATGATGTAAGTAGGTATATAGTGTAGGTACTGGGAAACTGAACAAACGTCAGTTCTGTCGCAAAAAGCAAACAGTTGCAGAAGTTTTAATAAATATTTATTTGAGGAAACAACAGTCAAGCGCGAGTGGGCGTCCCGTAAATAATAGAAAAAAGAAAACTGGTAACTCAGTCCTCTGGCCGGCGAAACACGTTAAATCTTAATTTTAATTTACAAACTTTAAGAGAATTCAACAAAAGGTACTTTTTGATGCAAATTACTTTTAACTTTTGCCGTTTTCATTAAGGAATTGTGGATTAATGTTGTATTAGTCTACTGGTTTTTCTTTGATTAGAATTTGGGAAGTTCCCGAAGTTTTGGAGGGCTCTTAATTTGAAACTAGCTTTCGGCAGCGCGATAATTATTCGTGCAGAAAGTGTAGACGAATTCCTTCTTCGATTATATCTCCTATTTCGTTTTGTATAATTGAGTACCCTCCTCTGGGAACTAATCTAATCTAAGTCTAAATTCTATCTCTATTAATAACAATAACGTTACAACGTTATATCTAATACCTAAACAAGATATAGCAAATCTTAAAGCCAAGCAAATTGAAACACATATTAAGCTGGTTGCACACGAAACCGCTACAGCGATAAATTTATTCGGCATAAAATGGCGGCAGCTGATCTTGCAAACTGCAGGGAGCAGTGTGCATGCCACCTAACTACGTAATAAAATTCGAAGCCATAGGCCACGACGGAGGTCACCCACGTTTGTCTCGTAAGCGAATTTTGGAAAAGTGAATTCGTATTGTTCTGTATTTTGAATATAATATAATGCTGCTTCGTGAATTTAAGGCTTTATTATGTCTGGTTTATAAGTCTGGAAACTGGAAAGAATTTGGTTATGTGAACGTTCTTTGATGTTTTCGTAGTTGGCCTTTGCAATGAGACTAAAATTTGTTTGGAATTTCTTAAAAATGTAACCTCAAATATGAGTAAATAATTATACATATAGTGCAAACCGTGAGAGAAGAATAAAATTACTTGCAAGACTTTCTAATGGCGTCTTTAACTGATTTTCCCAATGGACTAAAATTCTTTTAGGTACCTAATAACAGCTCTAAAAATCTAAATCTAAACAAATACGTATTTGTATTATAACTTTCGTGAGACATACTAAATTAATTATTATGTTTTTTGGTTTACTCACGGAATTATTTGACGAGGAACTCGACTAGTTTCAAGCCATGCTAGACGCTCATATTCATGAGCAGCATTCCACGACCAGCGATGCAACGACTGTCGTGCTGCTACTCTAGTAGCTAATAGTTAGATCTGTAACTATACTCGACAAAACTATAAAAAGTTCCAGCAGATCCAACCGAGACATACTACCTCGAAAAATTTTTCAATTAAAATCCTCTCAATCAATTAAGAATTATTTATGTCCCCCACAAATTGTACTGTTTTCAATTAATTAACTATATTAAGTACTTCATCAGTGAAAATAGTGCCTATAAAGCATTTAATTTGTACCAAGAGCCCGCATCGGGGGATATTAAATATTCACAGTGAATCTTCATTCTGATTTCAATGAATTACAATTCTCTGAACAAATAATCGATTCATTTGTTTTGTGTAAGAGATTTTGGTTACTTTTGTGGAATAAAGTAGAGGTTTAGTGGTGTTTCTTTGTATTTTAGTGTTGGACCATGTGACGTTATAACTTGTTTCTAGATTTTAGCAATTTTCTCCAAGTAAATACTTAAATAGAATACAGATTTTCGGATTGCATCTGGAAGGCGCAGTGGGAGATTTATTTATTTTAGAGAATTTAATAAAGATGTTCTATTATATTATTTAAAAGGTCATATTTGGTTAGCAGATCCAGACATGTATTTTAATCGTTTCTTATTAATTTTTTTTGCATACCTTAAGATATAAAAAACAAGTAATAAAAAAACTCGAGATTATTCAACGGGTATTCAACAAACCAGTTAGCTGAAATATTTCGTAATATATTATTTAATAATTACTATATTTTTTTCTCTTTGCTGTTTTTATTCTCCGTACCTTATTTTTGGCAGATTTTCTACTTAAACCCTAAGGTTGATTGGTAGAGAATGCCATATAGCATTAAGTTCACCTTATGTGCCATTTCGTAATCAAATTATGTACATGAAAGACTAAATAAAATAATTTTAGGACAATAATTAACCGAATTTTAAGTCACTTCACCTTTGGACATTTACCTAGGTGTCAAAATGTAGGTAAGTGAACTTGGAGAGGAAGATAAATATTTTTTAAAACATAAAATCACGCCTTTTAGCCCCAAAGGGGTAGGCAGAGGTGCATATTACGGCACTTAATGCCACTATACAATGTAACACCCACTGTTCATATTTTATACTACGATGTTGCACATTTCCAGGCTCCGTGCTAATACTGAGGTTTTTACAAATTAGTAATACTTTGCCGAACCCGGCAATCGAACCCGAGACACCTTGCCCAACAGTCGCACTTGCGACCACTCAGCCAATGAGGCAGTCTATATATTTTTAAAACTTTTCCCAAATAAACGGGTAACTGTAAAAGCTCCCTAATCAGGTCATATTCAAGTCAAATTCAGAGTTATTCTGCTTCAGGAGTGTTGGCGAGAAATTCCAATTAGGCTACTTTTGTGGATTTCATTTTTGAAATGTTTTAGTGTGGAGTGGATACGATGTTTTTTGTCAAACTTAGTGTAGTTTATGACTGTGGATAATTCTGTTACATTTCATATAGTTTTTGCTTGAATGTAGTTAGAATTTTAAGAAATTATAAGTTTTTATGGCATAAGCCGGTAAACTAGCGGACGGATCACCTGATGGTAAGCAATCGGCGTCGCCCATGGACACCTGGAACACTAGAGGCGTTACAAGTGCGTTACCGGCCTTTTGGAGATTGGGAGTTTGAGGATAGATCGTTGGGGATTCAGGAATTAGGGAGATTGGGGAAAGGTAATTGAGCCTCCGGTAACCTCACTCACACGACGAAACACAACGCAATCGTTATTTCACGCCGGTTTACTGTGAGGCCTTGGTATCACTCCGGTCGAGCCGACCCATTCTTTCCGAAGCATGACTCTCCCGTAATACCTTGAATTCTAAAAATATCTTATATATCAAAATTACTCAGCCCAATGAAGACCTACACGACCAAACACAATCGAATCGTATACACATTAATGTACTTATGTAAATAAATGTAGAAACTTCCCAAGTAGGTCGGTCTGTAAGTAGGTTGACACGTAGTTTGTAAATGAATAGAGACGCTAATTGTACGAGGAAAGCGTCGTGTGTTGTAATGTGATAGCTATATATGATACCCTTGAAGGAATGGGCAGGAAAAGAGGGTAATTTTGGGTAATGTGTTCTTTATGCTTAAAGAAAACTATTACTTTTATTTAATTAATAGTCATTGGAAGTTAGTAGTGACATAAACTCGAGGGCTTAGGTAATTTTTTCAAGATAGCGTACTAACGCTATCTTGAAAAAATGACCTAAGCCTAATACTAATTGCAAGCATATTTTTGCACATGAGTCGTTAAAATGTTAGGTCACAGATAGCATATTTTCAATAGGTATGTAACGTCGAACTTCTAACTAGTTGATACTAGCGATATTGTATCTATAATAATTCATACAATATTTACATGATATAATGATCATAATTCTAGGCCCCATATTACAGAGAAAAACCTCAATATTACTTTGCTTAACTCAGTAAGACTCCCTACTCGACAGTTGCATTTCCGATCACTCGACAAACACACTGAAAAACCTAATCAAGCATAACCCATCCATCTTAAGATCTCAGGCTTGGCATTCACATATGACTTGATATTTCTAAAAGAAACCATCCATCCTAAGCAACAGTGTTAAAAAGTATTTATACACATATTTTAAAACTATATTTAGGCGTTATTTAAACGGTCTCTACCGTCTTCACCGTTGGTACACAACCGCCCGTGGTCCTCATTTTGCATAAGTAATAAGATTACCACAGAACAGAGCAATAGGCATCTGCTATTCATTAAAAATGATTGTGTTTTCCAATTTCCATTATTGTTAGAAATTAAATTAAACTAAATACACAAAGAATTAAAGTTACCAGCGTAGCTCAAAGTATTAGTCGAAGAACCGATGACCGTTAGGGTAGACTTGATCTGGAGTGGAGACCACGTCTAGAAAAACGTAACGTAGCCTCCAGCACGGTGGAGTGCCTACACGATGCTGTGGAGGGCTCAAAGGGTTACCAGGGCTCCGGTTTGAATTGCAGGAGTAGGAACGGGGTGGTTTTTAGTCAGTAAGAGTCTGACACTCCTTCTCGTTTCTCTCAAGGCGGGAGAAGTCATAGGATAAATTTATCCCACAAAAAAAGCTAGGTGGAGTGACGATATCAGCAAAGTAGCTGGTAGTGATTGGATGCGTAGAGCTGAAGATCGAGCTTAATGGCGTGCCATTGAAGACAACATTGCCCGGCATGGACGAGAACAGACTGTTGATGTTTGATATAGACTTGGTTTGAGTGTGTTGAACCGATACGAGCTTCAAACCTTCAAGAAAAGAGCGTATTCCTTTTTAAATCAACGCACCTGTGACTCCTCTGGTGTTCCGGGTGTCTATGGGCGGTGCTGATCGCTTACCATCAGGTGATCCGTCTGCTCGTTTTACTCCTAAAAACTCCTTTTCTTAAAAAAAAACGTTAGTTGACAGAATCATTACATTCCCCACTATAATCCGTCACTGCGTTTGATCACAACCGACTATTTACGCTCATTGAACTGTATACCCGGCCACATCGAGCCATAAAACACCTGTTTACCGTGGCCTCGCTTCATATGATTGTTCTGTACATTCAAGGGTTAGTTTATACTGGTTCAGCATAGCGCCTACTCTCATACCTTTATTGAAGTGAATATTATTATTTAAAGTGAGTGTATTATTGACTATTATTTAACTTTTGCTTATGTAATAGTAACTATCGTGAGACATACTAAAGTAACTAAAAATCGTGGGTTACGGCGATGTCAGTAGGTTGCGCGGCATCAACGCGACATCGACGCGAAACTAGTAAAGTTTTTCTCTGTATATTCACGTGAGTAATCCGCGATTTTTAGTTAATATCTAATAGGTTGATGATCTCTGTTATCAGTTGTTAAATATCTTGACAGCTACGTTAATAGAAGTGCGATTAGCTTTCTGGGAGAACCAGAAACTAATAATTCGTTTAAATCATGAAGATTAAAACTAATAAATTCGGTTACCAACCGTAAAAAAATAATTAAAAATTAAACATAGCTATATAACCTCACGCCTATCTTACAGATAGGCAAAGACTATGAAAAGCCAATTATTATGATAACATTAAAAACTAAAAATAAATCAACCATTAATTTTAAACGCAACCCCATTCCCCTCACTAACATAATAATTTTTCAATGAAAAATAGTCCTCTTATAAATCATAGTTCGATGAAATATGTCTGATATAAAAATTCCGATAAAATTGATGAAGTACTGTAATAGCCTTTATAAGGGTTGTGAGCCGCACTGCATCTTTGAGCTTAAGTACATACTTACTGAAATGTGCGCGGAATGAATGAATACCCTTACATAAAACGATCATCAACAGAACTGGAATTCAATATAGATTTATTAAAAAAAAATGGTTATCAGCAATTTATTGAAAGAGGTAATTAAACTGAAAGAGGGTTTAATCTGAATAGACTGAAGTATTTCGTATTTATATGAAAATTAATTATAGGTGAGAGAGTGGTTTTAAGGCCGGCTGCAAAGTACTGAGTTTCCTTTTACAGATAACGTAAATAAATTATTGAAAAGAGTCTTTTGCGGACATACATATACTGCGATATATTAAAGAAGCGCCAAATTAAAAGTACCCTTAGCCGACGAGCATGCATGAAAACTGATGACTACTGTTGATGACGGGGTATGTAAGAATTGAATCTCAACCGTCTTTACCGTTGGTACACAACAGCCCGCGGTTCTCATTTTGCATAAGTAATAAGATTACCACAGAACAGAGCAATAGGCATCTGCTATTCATTAAAAATATTGTGTTTTCTAACTCCCATTAGTGTTAGATATTAAATTAAATTATGTACACGAAGAACTAAACTTACCAGCGTATGTCAAAGGATTAGTCGAAGAAACTATTACACAGATAGGCAAAGACTAAGGAAAGCCAATTATTACGATAACATTAAAAACTAAAAATAAATTATCAATCTAATGTTGATGATGTAAGAATTATAGTCTCTGCTACCCCCATGACAGACAGGTGTGCAGTTAGGACGGGGCTTTTTAGTCTACATTTTTCTTTTTCCTGAAAAGAGGTATTGTATAATAGGACAACAAATAACACTTCTTTATTGTAAGTGTTTAACGCTGAATTATTCAAAGGTCTCTCAATATTGCGTCGTACTAAATATAGTTCTGTAACTCGTCTCTCTGTCATTCTTCGTAAAATGACAGAGATGGCAAGATATTTAAGCACCACTTAAAATTGCGTAGTCTTTCAGTATTCGGGTGTAAGGAGCAAAATAGTAGTAGGGTAAATAGTGAACAGTTCAATTGCAGTAACAGAACAATTAGGTACTAGCAAACTAGTCAAATTCAATACTTTTTTCGAACTGTCAAAAACGACCGTATTTTCTATGAATTCTGTACGAGATCGTGTATTGTGACGTCACGTTTTTTTAGCGTAAAATAGCATACTTATTTCTTAAAAAATGCTGGAAAAATAGTAAAATTGTTGGTTATAAAATCAAATAATGAAAGGGTGGTTATTTTTTAATGTTTTATTGTGTTGAACAGTCGCAATAATTTATGTTTGATTAAGAAAAGCACCAAATTATGGGCCCACAAGTGAAATTGATTAGTAAGTAGATAAATCTTCAACATTTTAACATTATACTTATGATAAGGAAATATTCCTTATCATTTAGCTATGTTCCCTATACCTAAATAGACGGCAGAATGGTCTAAGCTCGTCTATCCAATAATCCAATCGGTTAATCACCCGGAGTAACACGGTCATTGCACTCTGTGTTCACGCAGTACGCATAAACGCTTCATCTGAACCAAGTCTCGAGGTCTGTTGGAGCCTTTGTCCAGAATTGCGTTGGATATAGGAAATTCTAGTGTTTAGTATTGTATTAGGGGGTTTTGTTAGGGTTCTTAATGGAGGTGTTATGTATTTTCAATGTTGATTAGTTAATTAGTTGATGATAATAATTAGTTAGTACAAATGTTGACTCAATTCACGTGTCTTTTTTAAGAAACAAACCATTGTTACATAACATAACATCACAAATTTTATCGCCGAAGGAGTAGGCAGAGGTGCACATTATACCACTGTACAATGTAACACCCACTTTCACTATTTATGTTATGAGTTCCATGTAATAGGAGGTGAACAAATCATTATAAATTTGAACTTTATCAAATAAACTAGCTTTTGCCAGTGGCTTCGCTTGCGTTTCCGGGGGTAAAAATCCCCTGTTCCAAATTTTATAAATAAATAATGTTATTTTTTAATATTTCATTGTATTGAAGAGTCAAAATAATTTATTTTTGATTAAGGCAAGTACCTAATTGAGAAACAGTATCACTTAACACCAACGTATAGAGTTAACTAAAAGATACCTAGTAACAAAATCGTTTCATAACATAACATCACGCCTTTTATCCCCGAAGGGGTAGGCAGAGGTGCACATTATGCCACTGTACAATGTAACACCCACTTTTCACTATTTATGTTATGAGTCCCATGTAATAGGGGGTGAGCCCAATGCCATATACCGGGCACAATTCCAGACTCCGTGCTACTACTGAGAATTTTTTAAAAACCCAGTAAATTTAATACTTTGCCCGACCCGGGAATCGAACCCGAGACCCCTTGCCCGGCAGTCGCACTTGCGACTTGTGC